TGCTAAGCCAAGGCTCTTTATGAATGAGTTGTAAAAATGGAAGAAGTAGGCCACTTGCATGCCAAAGTAGGTTGCAAGGTAGTCTGGCATTTGGGCACTGGGCCATTTATAGAACTTCAGTGGGTTGCTCCAACCACGGGCAAAAAGCTCCTGAACTTTCTCCCAATCATGCGCAGCGAAGAACTTGATCATGACTTCCGCCTCAACAGTAGCTCGCACGCACCATGCTCAGCTCATCACAGAACGCTGGAGATGCAGAGAGTCTCTCAATTCGGTTTCCGATCAGGGTCCATAGCCCAGGAGTGACGTACTTTCGGAATTAGACATCCTTTGGCCCTTGACTCCGAGCAGAACTGTCGGTCTTCATGTTCCCTGGGCATCCCGACCTGCTCCAGCGCAGGCAGGCTGAGGTGCTGTGTGATGGTCCTTCGGGCGACTCGGAGCTTGTCAGGTTCGCTGAGATCCTCGAGCTTCTCTTTGATATCTTCCGAGTAGCGCACCTGAAAAGCCATCAGGAGGCACCGTTTGTGTGCTTTTTCATTGCAAAAGACGGCTCGCCCTTACACGAGTCATGCTTGTGAGCTTCTTCTTTGCGCATGCATCTTGCAGATAGAGATGACGAATCTTGCATCAGGGGCTGGTGCTAAAAGACGAAGGTTCTCACTTCCTGGTTCTTGGACACGTTACCGACAGGATGACTGCAACTTGCGCAGGACTGCTGCATTCCCATGTTGTGCGCAAGAGTTGCTTGGTCGAATTCTCTAGAAAAAAGCAGCATGTGTGGGTACGAGTACTGCCAACTGCAGCTGGGTATCGAAGGCCGTGCACGTGTTATCCATGGTCGCGCCATTGAGGTGTCGCTCGTCGAAATCGATACGGGCAAAGTCAAAGTCCTTGTAAGGCATAGAAGCATCGACGCATCTCCGCGTGGAATGCAGACCGATGCCCCCGCCTTGCCCTTGCCCATCTTCTGGTCAGTAGGGACCTTCTTCTTCGCATTCCTGTAGGCACCCGGCTTCACCCTGGCTCGGGCCTGGTCATCTGCGGTCACAGGAAGGCTCCCGGCACTCACGGGCACCTGGTGCCTCGTGCTTCGCCGCGAGGATGCTGAAAGTCTTGGGATCCTCGATCGAGATGGTGACGAAGTGCTCGTCGCCATCCACAGAAAAGAAGTCCACGATGTTGCAGCCATCACCTGCACGGAGCTACCTGTGTGGTTTTGTTTTTGACTGACGGCTCACCAGCCTTCCAAGACATCGATCACTCCATCCTTCACCGCCGCAATGAAGTCCTTGGGGTCAGGAGCACAGGCCGCACCGGACACGGGACAAAGCAGCTGGCAGTGCAGGCAGTCCTGCTTAGAGATGCCATCCTTGACAAGAGCGGGCCTCTCACGTCCATGGAAGATGGCCTGCCGGAGAAGACAGTGCTACTTGGGCCATCGGCTTCGACCGAAAGAGCCATGGGAAAGAGCCATGGGAAAGCCTGGTCACAGCTTACTGCAGCTCTCTTCGCTATTCACGCAGAGACCCTCAAAAACGCAGTCAACACAGAACCGCCTCCCATGCCGTCGTCGGTTCTTCCATAGGCTTCAGATAGCTTTGCTTCACGGATTCATCATGGCCTCGGTGTGACAATTCACGTCTCGGAGAGGGGCAGGCGGGGGTGGGGCCAGCCCCCAAACCTCATGTCCTGGGCCAGTGCCATCCGAACGGCTGCCTTCGGGGTATGGGAAGACCATCACAAACTGTGCATTCCTGGGCTTCAGAAGCAGAAAGCCCTGAACAGAGCCGAGTCTAAGCTGGAGGTGAGTTGGGCGAGATTGCACATGCCGAGATCCGTCGAGACGCGGGAAACCCAACTGAACTGGGCTTCCCATGACCGTGCCCGTAGTTTTGGCAAAGCCATCATCCTTGCATGTTGGATGGCATCTCCAACTTAGTAGTTCACGACTGCAAAAAGGATACCAACGCAGCTTTGCGCCTGCATGAGGGCCGCTCTCTCTTCATGCTCCGACGATAGCGACAGATCGCCTGTCTTGCCTACTTTGGCCATCCTGGCATCAGATTGCTGCATGTGTCGCCTTGAGCCACTGGGCTGTCGCGAGATCCGAATGCTCGAGGGCAGGTTCGGGGACGCTCAACCCGAAACCCATGCCTGAGCCCTCAACCCTCGTGACCACCGCCACTCAAACCCCGCAAGCCCGGTAACCCGTAGCCTTAAACTTAAACCTTAACCAGACAAGGTGACACTACTAGCGGATGCCGCCGGACCGGGTGAAGGGGGGCTGGGGGGGGAGGAACAGGGTCTGAAGAGGCCCGGCCCCCGAAGCAGCCAAAGCGAATCGACCGCTGAAGGCCGAGGCGAAAACCTTTGGCCTCGACTCCAGTCCCGATCCAGTTCAGGTCCAGCAGGCCAGGCTGGGACAGCGGGGGAAGCTTGGGCGCCTGCGCGCTTTCACGCCGGTCCACCGAAAGGACAAGCCGGTGGGAGCACGGACCTTCCATTACAAGTGGGTCGACAAGGTCAAGGAGGGAGTGGCAAAGACCCGCTTCACCTGCGCGGACGTCAAGAGGGCGTACACCGAGGAGCAAGAGCAAGACCTCAGGGTCTTCGTGCCGACGCCGACGCCGGAAGCCCACGCCCTGCTGGATCACGGCTTTGCAGAGAGGTTGCGCCACGCGTTCCTTCGACATAGTCTCCGCGTTTCTCATAGGGCAGGACCGTGGAGCTCAACAGATACATGAGACCCCCTCCCAAATGGAGACTCATCTGGAAAGAATGGGTGCGGGAATTCTCGCCGGAGAAAACAGGCCCGACTCTGGGGACAGTTCGACAAGATGCTGTTCCGCCTTGTGACGGGAACCTGTACGGCAGGAGAACCGCCGGCTCGGTGTACCGCGACGAGCTTGAGGAGCTTCTTTGCGTGAAGCTGAAGGAGACCGGGCGGTACGACTTTAGGCGCGGAGTCAAGGACCCGTGCGTGTATACCGTTGCCTAAAGACCGGGATATGGTGTGCCCACGGGCCCAGATATATGGCAAACCGGAGTCGCTTAATGAGGGGTGTGTTTATAAGAACCACATGTTGAAGCTTAACGCCAACTAATGGTTTTTTAAGATATACGATCCATCGGAATCGCCGAATGAGGGGGCATTTTGCTAAATGAGGGGGCGATGAGGGGGTGGTAAATGAAAGAGCGTCTTGACGGTTTAAGATGTATATGATGAGGTTTAAGATGTATATGATGAATCAGAATCGCCAACTGAGGGAGCGTGTTGAAGAACTTTTGCTGAAGATATATGAAGAACCGGCATCGCCAGGACACAGCCGAATGCGGCACGCGGGACGCCGGACGCGGAGCGACACGCATAAATTCCCCTGTAAAGTTATAGTGGGGCATCTGTGGAACCTATAGAAGATCTACAGATCGGCAAAGAGGCTGCCTCTATGCATCTTCAACATCTGCAATATTTCTGCTGTTGACCTGCCTTCCACATGCTACCCTCCAAGCCCTTCTGAGTGAAAACCGTGTTCACGGATCAATGCCGGCAAGCATGCACTGGCGCATCCAGGCGAAGAACCTGCTGACTGACGGCATCGACTGCGACATACTGCAACCCTCGCCCCGCTCCGATGCGCACCCGGCTTTTGAAGATGCTTCACAGCACCATCTCGTGGCTGGGACCCTCATCATCCGCAGTGATTATCACGTGCAAAGGATGTGACGAAGTCTCTTCAGAATCAGCGGGGGTTCTGAATCTGACAGAGTCGCTCATTCGAGTTCGATACCTTCAGAATGCAAGCTTGGTCGCCTCGGGCCTTGCTGGTGCAAGAATGAGCGAGTTCTGGCAGCAGCGTTTAAGCATCTGTACAAATTGTGTCAAATCTGCACCAGCTCTGCGTGCAGGGGCGCCGCAGCTCTTCAGCCTAATACGGCGACTGTCTGCGACGGTGGAAGAACTCTTTGGACCATTCTGCACTCTGCTCCTTTAGCGAAACATGGGTTTCTCAACTTAGCATCACTCATCTTCCGCCCTGCACACAGAGACCAGTAGCGGGCTCCCTTTGAGCCATGAGGCCCGCCGCGGCTCTTCAACCTAATACGGTGACTGTCCGCGACGGGTCAAAACTTCTTGAGACCGGGCCTTTTCGTGAATTCTGGGATCATGTTGAAAGCACCACCCCTTCGCGGGGGTGGGGAGGTGGGGGGTCCCCCCAAATAGGTGGGCCACCTATTTCCGGGTCTGGGGACTGCAGGGGGGGTCTGACCACGGTGCTGGACACACTTCTTTCCACTGTCAAACCCTTTGTTCGCTGGGAACCCAAACTCACCCCTGTGGCAGCCACTTAATTTATCGTGGTATGTATCCAATGTTACCCACCAACCTACTTACCATGGCCCCTACTGGATATTACAACGGCTACCCCCGGTCCAATGGAAGTCTGGAGTCCTTTGTGACTGTAGATAACAGGCACATAGCAGTATATGGGTGGATCCGAGGGGGGCGACCATACGGTTTGTGTGCCTCGGCTAGACGAAACCCAGACTCACCCCTGTAGGCGCCACCCATTTTCTCGTGGTCTGTGTAGTCTGTATCCTGTACTCTACCTACCAACCTACCTGCCTACCATGGCACTACTAGATACTACACGGATCCGAGCCTGGTCCAATCGAGGTCTGGAGTTTCTTGTTAGTTACTCTTGTTGCTGCGGATAACAGGCACGCAAAACAATATATGGGTGGATCGGAGGGGGGGAACCCTACGGTTTGTGTGGCCTCTGCTACACGAAACCCAGACTCTTCCCCATCCAACCACCTATTCTTACCGCGATCCCGGGCGAGGAACAGTTCAGGACAGCCACGAACTCCGATCTAAGCCCTCCAAACCTACCGATCGCCACCTATTTTCTCAACCCCCCCCCCCACGGTGGAAAAATAGGTGGCGCGTCCCCAGGAAGAATAGGTGGGAATCCTACTCACGTCCCCCCACCAACCACCTATTCGAGAGGGTGGTCGTATGTTGAAATCTGTCCGGACGTCATCTGGTAGTCATTCGGGTAGCACAGGGCGAAAACGGTCCAGCCACGGCACCACAAGCCATCGGGGACGGGTTGCTCCCACTCCTCGTTACACCGACTTGGGCAACTGCCGTCGCTGCGGGGCTGGGCCGCAGGCGCAATGCACTCTTCCTTTTCCGAGTCGCAGCGGAAAGTGCATAGACGAGCAGAGAATCCGACAGGACATGCTACAGGATGGAAAGCATCACCAACCCATGTATCACCAACCCATCCACTATATTTCCATCCCTCCTTGAAGCTCTGGCTCTGCACATGAGCCGGCTGATCTGTGCGAAAGCATGCTGCCTCCACTGTAGCTCCGAAGTCATATTGGGCCTCGAGCGAGCACGATGTCCGTGTAATAGCCAGTCCGAGACCTGAGGCCCCTCCTCGGCCGTCCGATTCAGCTTGCATTCTCATAAACTGCTGGAGACATTGCGTGGCGGAAACGGGGATGGGCTCTGGGGGGGCACCCCTTTCCGAAGGCATGTCGAAGTGATGCTTTTGACACAACTGATGCTTGACTATCTTGCCCTGCCGGGCAAAACAAACCTGTGTTGCGTGACGCTGATCCTTAAGAAGAAATTCCACTTGAAAAGTCTTGACGACCAGGTCTCCGGTGCAGTCCATCAGCTGGTACCCGCTAGGGCAAGTGGCGGTAGCAAGGCAACCCTTCTTGGAGCAAGATTGCTTCTCGAAGATCTGCATACTTGATTGCATCCGACGAAAGCCGTCATCCTCACGTGTTGCGGCAATCGGCTGCAGCTTATGCCGTCTTCAACTATTTCACGGCGTCGCCTCACAAATTCTATTTGATGTTGGCCAAGGATCCCGATGACAGACGGTGCTGCGATCCTCCTCCGTCACGTTCGGAATTCCCAGGCTTGCGTGATAGAGCTCGAGCCAATGCTCACATATCAAAGATCGCCTGCCAACAAGAGGGTGGCTTCTGGCACAGGGACAGGCCAGCGTTCGCCGCCAAGCAGCACTGCCCGCTACTGACCTGTACAACTATAAGCTCTACCGAGTCGCAATTCCTCATCGTCAACCCAAGTCCAAACCTTGGGGCGGACGTGTCAAAAACGAGCTCATCAAACAGGTACAAAGTACGTTTGATCTGTCAGGGAGGCATCAAAAATTACAGAACGGGCCACCCTGGGAGTGCAGTTGCTCGGACTCAGAAATTATAAGAGCAGATGCAAGCAACGCCAACGCAGTTGTCGATCTCCCGGTCAATGACCCGCCAGTTCGAGTTGAAGGACTCGTCCAAGCTCCTCCGCCAATCCGCCGGGGACGTGCCCGAAGCCCCTCCGCGCCATTCCTGAGCTGAAGACAAGATGCCGACTCAAGACTTCGAAGTGTGAGTGACAGCATGATTCGAGCTGTGACTCTTGTGTCACCTCGATGTTCGCGTCCTTGTAGGCATCCTTGTTGATCTCTCTCTCGCCAGAGTTTGTTGTCTCCGTGACTTTCTCGGCATTGTCCGTGCCCCCTGCGGCCGAGCCCGCAGCCACGCCGTAGCTGCCCTCGGCATGAGCTTGGGCTGCTGAAACCGTGGTCTTCTCAATGGCCATGGATAGCACGTTGCTTTTGTCGACCTCCGTGTGCTTCTCTGTACTCTGGTAGCTCGCGGCGAGCTTCCACCAGCCTCCAAGCACCACTTGTGGGCAAACATGCGTGCCAAATCTGAAGAGCAAGCTCTCGATATCACCTTGCAGGCGCTCCGACGACTTTGGCGGAGTGGAAGGCGCCGGAGCGGAAGGCGCCGGAGCGGAAGGCGCCGGAGCGGAAGGCGCCGGGGTGGAAGGCGTCGTGGTGGAAGGCGGCGGAGTGGGTGCCGGCACCGCGTCTGGCTTGAAGCACTGGCATTCCTTGCCCTGATTCGGGTAAGGGTCCTCCTCGAAGTTTGGACTGAGGCACTCGATGCTTCCGCTGACCGTCTGCGTGACCCACCTGTCACCTTGCACGTAAGGTTCTGACAACAGCACAATCGCACCCCAAAGCAAGGAAACCCTAGAAACTCACAAGCTGTGTCCTTCGACAGTTCAGAGCACTACCGCACTAATTACGCAGATAACTGGGCTTCCTTGACCTAAGGAAAACGATACGAGCATTCTCGGAGCTACCAAAGCCGTATCGGACCGGGCCGTCGCAGGCGCAGTTGCGCGAGAGCGTGCAGCCAGGGTGGTTCCAGTGACCCACGGCTTCGCAAGCACAGCGCTCCCAAGAGCCCTTCGGCGGAGTGGAAGGTGGCCCATGGATACGTAGGGTTTGGACTGGTTGTAGGCGATGAGACTCGCTTACCTCAGGCTTACTCCTCAGCGAGGGCCCGCCGGTCATCGCAAGCTGAAGCTCGCCCGAGGGGGTTTCGGTGGGGGTGCCCTCAACCTTCTCGTCTTCAGGGTCCTGCGTCTTCGGGATCGTGGTCTCCACTACCGCGAGGGGCCGACTGTGGGCGTCGATACCAATGCTATTGATGTCCCCAGAGACCACGGCGCTGTCGATGTGAGGCGTATATTTCACCGCTCTCAAGCAATCCATCTGGGGCAGATCAGGGCTGGCTCCACTCCTCTGCCCAAGCCTACTATTTAACCCTGCCAGCCTCCAGGAAGCCGTGGGACTCCGCCCACTTCAGATTTGCCGCGGCCTCACTGAATGCGGACGCGTTGCCCAACTTGATAGTGGCAAGAACCTCCGTGGCGTCGGCCCGGTCAAGGATATGTTGAACAACGTCCATTCCTGTCAAGTCAGCTTCGTCTAGTCTGCTGAAGCACGCCCCTTCGATTGATCGGCTTCGCCCTTAGAATGGAGAACCTGTCCGAATAGAGACGCCATGCAGGTACCGTCGTAGCCGAGATAAATTCTCGAGTTTACGTGAGGTTGACCATGCCTCCTCCACCTGCTGCCTTTTGCCCGCTGATCTTGTGGGGAAGCTGGGAAGCTTCAGGGAAGGCCCTGGGGACCCTATGACTACTGGACTGAAGACTGCTGACAATACTCGGAAAAGCAGTTTTCGAATCAGGCAAGGGCTCTGGTCTCGGGTCCTTCAGCCCTCGAGACGTAAAGGATGAACAACTATGAGTTGAGTCAAACCTGAACACCAACAGCCTAGAGCTCTCGAAACCTTCTTCACAGACATTGCCCCCGCACCCCTTGCTCTCCCCCAAGCATCGCCGCGCCCCTGCCCCCTGGCCTCTGGAACGGTCGGGCTTGGAGAGCTGGACATCTATGCTGATTTCTGCGCGGCTCTGCTGAAGCCCGCAATGCCTGAAAGCTTCGACTTTCGCTGCGTATTCAGGATCATCCACTTTGTGACGCAGAACTTCTCGAGGAATTCTAGGCTTGTCCCTGCACCCTTCCTAACTCGAACCTAATCCGGCACACTTACTCGATTTAAGCCGGCTTCAGTGATTGCGTCTGATGACCCCTGAGACAAGCGTAGTACGACACTGTGCATGTCCGGCAGAACTCTCATATGGACCCTAGGCTAATCATAACATTGCCGTCGAAGCCCGTCATTGAGCTCGGCTCTTGACATGTATGCGAAGTGACGAAAGATGTTTTCCAAGTCATCCTCTGAGCCCGTAAGCCGGAATGCGCTGCCGAAATTGCACCAGCAGACCCCAAATACATAGAAATAGCGGGTTGCCGCTCTTTGTTGCACAATAGCCTGCTGTCCCGGGCACGACCCGTGCCAAGTCGCTGCCCCAGCGTGCTATGCAGGGTCTCGTCAGTCTCGTCCCCGCACCCCCCCCCCTCCCCCTACAAAAAAGCACGTAACGGCGACTAGATGAGAAACGAAGAACCACTGTGGGCAACATCATGAGCTGCTGGACTTTTGCGAGAGGGAGATTGTCCTAAACATGCAACCTCAAAAAGTGCTGTGGTTCCATGCATTTTCAAGATTTGGGTGGGGGCTCCGTCGCTCAACGATCCTGACGTTGTAGTACAGTGCGTATAAGTAGGCTCTTATAGTAACAAACCCTGCGCACGCCGCCTGCTTATGAGGGGCTCCGCACGGGGCTCTTTGCCACAAACGCCGCGTGCAATGATAGAAAGGGTCGATGATTCTTTGATATAGATAAGTATACAAGTTCATAAGAAATCAACGTGGCGTACGATGTGCTATGAAAGCAAAGGTTTCCCCATTTTAATCCTCGAGCACATTGACAGTCACACACTACACCCTTGCAAAATTCGACGAATATGTTCCCACCGTTCGTACGAAAGCAAATGCAAGTGGAAAAGTGTTCAAGTCGATTCGAGTCTTTGGGAAGGCGACAACGCACACCTGGAGCTAACACGGGAATGGTCGTAAGGCGCGAACTACCGTCCAAATGAAGCTTTATTTCACTTTCGGGGAGATGGAAGCAGGAGGAGTGCACACGCAAGGTTTTACAAAGCTTACAAATATGATAGCCAGATATAGGTGTCCATGAATCTGTAAGCATGATTATTTTAATAAGGACAAAAATCGAACTTGAGCGTCCCACTTGCGAATGACGCTCTCCACACGGGCTTGCACGGCTCCTCCCACATCGGGCGAAAGGTCCTTCCCACGGACTGCGCAGACTACTTAGCCCCATTCTGTGGCAACTTAGGGCAGACGTGTCCCCATGTCAAAAGTTGACAGTTCTCGACCCAGGCACTACCAGATCAAAATGCGAGATGTTCCAGACCAGGAAGACCACTTGAAGCACCCGCTGGCCACGAATGCTCGGTGCGGGTGGGGTCGGTTTAGAAGAAGCGGCTTTTCGGCAATGGTCAGCATTGTCTGAATTGTTGGCCTTGTCTGGAGCATCTTCATGCTTTGTCCGGCAAACTCGCTCTTGCAACTCCGCGATCACCTCCTCGAACTCTGAAGTTGGGGTCAGCATGCTGGCTTTTAGCTGAATGCGCAGCCGTGGCTCCAAATAGTAGCGCGTCTTGTACAAACTCTTGGTCTGGACGCTCCGCCGCGCTTCTTCTTTCTGTTCTTCTTCTGCTGCATTGCCATTGGATTTCCGACGGTTCATGCCGCCACCCGCTTTCGCTCCCCTACAGAAGGGTCAAGCCGTGACACCAAAACATGATTTTCCGCATCCTTCGTCTGAGTGCAGCCAAGCATCCACCAGCCCGCATCGGCTCCAGCAGACACGGCAATGTTGCTCCCTGACTGGGCAAACGCACTGCGTCCCAATGCTGAGAAGCGCTTGTCGGCAGCGACCTCGAAAGGGTCTTGCCGCAGCTTGCGCAGCGCCCGCTGTTCTAGGCCTACCTAGACATGAATAACCACCGCGCCCATCAAAGCACCATCTAAGGTTGCAGTCGCGAGTTTGTGAGGGCTGCACAGGGGAGGAGGATTGAAGTTCAGGGAACAGCAATCCGACACAGCCGAATCCGCTACCACCAGCCAGACTTCATCGCGTCAGAGTCGCAGAATCCTTAGCCGTTTCCGTCTCTATGTTTACCTCTTGGGAATTGCTCTCCGGATGGATGGCAATCGCCGAGTAGAGCTCCTGGTCGGTCAGCGATGCCGACTCTGGTGTCCACCTGAATTCGACCGATACCCAAGTCTGGATTCCGCATCTCCCAACCCTACATTGCCATGCGCAGCAAATACCCTGCTTTTTCTAGCTGCCCCGGAATGACACTGAATCTTTCAGGCCTCGAACAACTCAACAGGCCGGGGTTTCTGGCAGCTTGGAGGATAGGTTGTGCGTTGAACGGTCCGGTTGCAAGCCTAGCTGCTGCACAACCTGACTGTGCGAACTTGGAGACATGTCATCTTCGTCGCCACCAATCCTCCACTCGGGCTTGTGCGACTTGTTCGGGATGCCACGTTCCAAAAGTCATCAAATGAAACTTGGTGTTGACAACTCACCGTGCGACTTATAATGCAGCTTGTAACCGGCCTTACGCCACGCATGATGCCAGCATAGGCAACAAGCGCTGTCAGCGGAAGCTTTCGTCCGTTCACGAAGCCACCTGGATAGCAGAACAAACTGGGATGTTTAGGTCACGGATCGAAACTGCTGGTGGCCTCCACAAATCCACGTTGTTTGTGCTTTCACATTGAACCACATCAGACTGATTGATCAATGATTGATCGAACTGAAGTCTGAGGGATTATGTGTAACGGCTCCGGGGGGCCACCCCCAACCCCGTTTGCAACAACCATGTCTGACAGGATCCATATGTGTGCTGTTTCTGTTGGCAGGATGCTATTTGAAGTGCACACGGACAGGGAGTTTGTTCTGGGCGAAGCATTGTCGATGGTGTCTTGATGCATGCCTGGGGAGGTCTTCTCATGTGTGAACCAGCATGGTCCATGCGAAAACTTACGAGTAGAAACGAGATCCGGCAGCCATGACTTTGCATTCCGGGCGCACACACACGCACACACACACACACACACACGCACGTGTAAACTCAACAAAACCTCCAGATAGATTGTGTTGTTGATGTTGAGCATATATCTTAAACAAACTAATATCATTTGTCGAATCCCATTCATCATACATCTTGAAGTGCCCCTCATTTGGCAATTCCGGGTCATCATATTTCTTAAACACATCCTTTCATGCGGCGCCCGGCCTGAGTTCATCAGCGCCTGGAGACGATTGTTGCCCTGCGTGGTGTCCAGATCAATTGCCCGTGTTTGAACCTGCGTCAGCACAATCAAAGCCCAGACCACTTTCCACTTGAAGACTGCGCTTTTTCATGCGTCAGTTTCATGTACTGTGCTCCTTGTAGCCTTATAGGGGATGTGTGATTTAAACGGGAATTGCAGACAACGGTTGGCAACGGCGAAACTAACCCACACAAAGTGCCGGCCCGATTAACCTGCCCCGCACAAAGCCACGCCTTAGCCAATTCTGCCTTGGCTTTCTGCAGCGCCTCCTGGCTGAGTTGTCAATGTGGACGCTTGCTGCTAGACAGGCCACAATACCCCGGAGAAATCAGATGTGCGCTCAGACGGGGCTGAGCATGTGGAGTCGGTGCTTTTAATCCGGAAACATTGAAATGGTAGTGACTCAGTCAGCGTGGCTGTTTGTGCTGGGTGGGGGGCTGTGGCGGTACGGGGAACGGTCGCAATGCACGCTGCCAGTAGGATGGGCCGGTAATCCGAAGTTACGCACTTACCACATGTCTTGATCCTAGCAGATCCTTCAGAGACTGGTTCTGGGACTCTCAATGGATGCAGACGATGCAGCAGTCAACCTGGAGTAGTGAGGGGCTCCTCAAACTCAGTCATTCTTGGGCCCGAAATTTGGATAGGTCGGGTTGGGGTAGGGCTAGCGCAACGTGTTGACTACACTGACCCCACAACGTTAGGAGCGTAGTTGAGGAGACTGGCCTCGTCCACAGAGCGTCAAGGAAATGACTTCCCGTGCTGTTACCAAAGGGAAAAGTCGGCCGTTCGGGTTCAAAGGTCCAGGCCTTGCATTTCTACACTGCGCCGGCACTTCAGAACCCACAGGTTACGGACCAGTCCTGGGTTTCCAGGAGACGTCATCTACAAAGCTACCTGCTAAACCCCGGAGCCTGGAATAAAGCATTGGATCCTCAAATGTGTAAGAATCAGGCGAATGGGTCAATAATTTTTGACGGGGTCAACTTTATGCGTAAATGCGTTGGCCGCCGATTCCGAGATTCAGAAAGGGCCCAAGGGCCCAAGGGCTTGCATGTTTGATTCAGAGTATTCAGAAAGCCCCAGGCACAGTCCGATAATCCATGGTGTTAGCAAGCAACCCAATGTGTGAACAACATCGATCCCGACCTTAGCCCCCAAACTTCTGAATCACGTCCCTCGGTATATCTTTCAGCCGCACACAAATCCCAACCTGCACCCCAAAGCTTCTAGCCCTCGGTGCTCCGTCATGCCTTTGTACGTGGACTTTGTGCCCCTGGCCTCCTTGTACTGCCGGCTTGTCTGAGGGTCGAGTCAAGTGTGGTCGGCAGGCATGTGCTGATGTCTTGCAGTGAAGCCTGTTTGCAAGTGAGATTTTGGGCTTGAGAAAGCTTTTTGAGTGGGGCTTTGGCCATGGATGCTTCGAAGCCTGAAGCAGTGGAGGACTCCCAGTCTGGGTCGAAAGATGATTCGCTTTCAGGGCTTGCATGCTTGTGGGACAACAATCCGGAAGTGAGGCAGCGAATGCGAAAGAAGTTCAACCTGTTGGTTCATTACGATCCCAAACTTCAGAAGAAGCTCAATGTAAAGGTGGAGAAGACCGCACACAATGTTCGAACGAATGCTGCCGTGTTGGGACCTGTTCTGAAGATTATGAAGCTGACGAATGGCCTTCCGGCTATAGACAAACTCATGGTGCAGGTCGCGGATGTGTTCGGGCGCTTTTCCATGCCAATTACAGAGAACCTTGCAAACTCGCAATCGGGGATATGATTTCAGTCCTGAAGAAGAACAAAACCAAACATGCCTGGCACAAGGACAATGGGTTTGCAAGCATGTTGTGGCATGTCCGAAGAAACTCCATATTCCGTTTGTGCCATGCATGTGTCATATACCTTTGCTTTCACAGGACCCAGTGACCCGGCAGCTTCTCTTGGATATGGGTGTGTGTGAGGAGGAGGCGGGGTTGTTGCTGGATTGAGCTTTTCGCGGTTGGCTACGAAACATGTTGCCCAAACTGAGCAAGTGCACAAAGCTTCGGACAGGAGGGTGGGCAACTGAAGGTGGTGAGGCAGAAGTCCTTCAAGGAGATGTTTGCAAGTTGTCATGGCAGAAGCTTGCTGGGTTAGCACATTAGAGAATGCTTGGAAGTGTATTGTGCAGGAGGATTCTTTGCCTTTCTTGAAGCCGACGGTTGAAGATTCCCAGCCGCTTCCAGACGATGAAGCTTTGCAGCCGATTCAAAACACAATGGCCCCAGAAGACTCACAGCCGATCCAAGACAGTGCCCCAGAAGTTTCGCAGCCGGTTCAAGTCGTGGCCCCAGAAGTTTCGCAGCCGGTTGAAGACATCGTGGCCACAGAAGTTTCGCAGCCGGTTCAAAACATCGTGGCCCCAGAAGTTTCGGAGCCGGTTCAAGACAGTGTGGCCCCAGAAGTTTCGCAGCCGGTTCAAAACATCGTGGCCCCAGAAGTTTCGGAGCCGGTTCAAGACAGTGTGGCCCCAGAAGTTTCGCAGCCGGTTCAAGACAGTGCAGCCCGAGAAGTTTCGCAGCCGGTTCACGACAGTGTGGCCCCAGAAGTTTCGCAGCCGGTTTCGGAGCTCGCCCCCGAGGCCCCAGTGTGTGATTGCAAATTGAGAAGATTTCGGAAGGTTCATGTCACGATTAGCTCATCGACGACGATTGGTGTGATGGTTTCGCATTCCTGTGTAAGACATGCATGATGTATACATGTTTGTGTGCCAAGCCCGAGCTCCGGCATTTGGTCAGGATCCATCCACTTCACAAGTACCATTTGCAGAGGCGGGGATTGCACAGAAGCTTCAGACCTGGCATGGCATTCTGAATCCGAACATGGTTTTCGCAGCAGATCACATGCTCATGGCAAGTATAGGTTATAGCGCCTGTATAGTGTCTTGAGCGAGAGTTTGCAATTATTGAGTGGGCAGGTCGTCTGCTCGTCCGACGAGGAGACTGCTCACTTGGCCAACAGCAGCCACGAGGGTTTGTCCGCAGTTCTTGGAAATCTGCTGGCCCAGCTGTGTTTCAGCTGAACCGAATGAGTCGTGCAGTCTGATGCCGTGCATGCTTGATGGTGCTAGAAGTTGTGTGCCCCTATCTTGCAACCGCCGAATATGTTGAAACCGAGGAATGCTTCGCCCGGTCTGGGCAACATGGTGAAGCGAGGAGCTATTCGAGTGCAAGCCAGTCCTCAGCATGGCTCCCTGCCTTTAGCTGGACTACTCACATGGAGTTTTGAAAGTTGCAAGTATATAGCTGCGATGTACATCCTTATATCCACAGGTGACCTTGGCTCTGCTTCCATGAGCAATGATTCCTTCAAGAAGGATGAGGCACTTATGGATTGGTTTTGGCTTTCCTCATGCAACAACTGGGCTGGTGTATTCGAGGGTAGAGTGCAGTGAGCATCAGCCGTGCTTATGTCAAGACAAAAGCCATGTGTAATGATTCGGTATGAACCCGAACCTTTTGTGGAGGCCCCTCAGAGCACGGCTGTGGACGAGACGGGTGGCCCAGGTGCCGCCTTGGAGACTGCAGTGGGCCCTTCCAAGGGCGATGTGCATGAGAATCCGGACGAGAAGGGCGGCCCGGGTGATGCATTGGAGACTGCAGAGGGCAATGTGCATAAGGATCCGGGCGCAGGGCTATGTGACACGCAGGGATCAGTTTGGCATGAAGTCTTCATTGAAAGGTCAAAGAGGCCGGGGGCGAGGCCGAGGCAGGGGTGGCCGGGGCCCCACGGCTGCAAAGTCAAAGCCTTCGAAGAAAGAACCCGAAGGTGTGTACAGTGCCTCGAGCAAGGGGCCGTGGAGGAAGGATCGGGGCTCCGCCGCATGAAGAATCATGTGGCTTTGGGTGACGATGACGAAGGCCAGTCCGAGGACGAGGAGCCCGAGGACGGCGAGCCCGCAGAGGAGCCGAGCGAGCATGAGGATGAGAAGCCGAGAAAGAAGCCGAGCGCGAGAGGACAGCCCAAGGCGAAAGCCACGGCAAAGGCAAAGTCAGCCTTGCCGAAGAGCAAGGCCAAAGCCAAAGCCAAGGCCAAGGCCTCGGCGAAGTCCAGTGCCAAAGCCTCGAAGGTTGTCGCTGGGGATGGGGATGACCCGGAGCCACCAAGCAAGAAGGCCAAGACAGCCAAGAGTGCCGATGGAGAAGCAGATGTTCCGGAGCCAGCAAACAAGAAGGCCAAGACTGCAAACCGCAAAGAAGCTTTGGAGGCAGCTTTCAAGAAGACGTTCCATGAGTACACCCAGCTTCGAAAGCCCGAGCCCCTGGTTTTCCATGACATGAATGCCAATGCTGCTCTGTCCAATCCGGACCACATTCGTGCGGTGCTGAAGTACGAGTGCATGAAGTGTTTGATCGACTGCTACAAGGCCGGCGAGGCCGACAAGAGAGGCAAGCACGATCACTTGGAGAAGTTGTTTGCACCCGATGGTTACCGCTACGAGCTGTATTGGACCAGATTCTCCGTGGGGGTCAAGAGGCAGGACGGCGACGAGTACAAGCAGATTGTGTACTTTTCGAGGCCAACGACATGCACAGGCACGAACCGGGTGCTGGCAAGGTATTTCGCCTGGGACTTGGAGGATTTGCCAAATTGTTTGTGATGTGCCATAAATGATTCGGCCCCATGCAGCTCCAAAGTGCACTTGGATTCATGGTTGGTCTCAGGTTGCTTTGTGCTCTTCGTTCCCTCGAAACACCGACCCTGCTTGCAGAGCTCTGAGCCATTTCAAAGCCATAGCCGCCACAGCACACGCAGAGGCTGTGTCAGGATGGTTGCCGTGAAAAGTGTACATCAAGAGGTGCCTGCAGTGCATGTGGAGCTTTATACAACTTGAGTGTGCAATCATCTCCAACCATGCATGGTAAATGGTGTGTACGTTTTTGTCCTTGGGCCACACGAAATCCTGCAGGCATCGCTTTCGAGACGGCTCCCGGACTTAGGAGCTAATAGGGGAGCACAGCGAGCAGCATGAGCATCATCGTGCTTAATTGCAGCCTTTTGCACACACACACACATATGAACACATGGTTTGTCCAATCAGATTGCTCGCATGGTTCAGCCAGGGGTTGAGCTGAAGGTGTGACTGGGCACGTTTCCCCGAGTCGCCAAAAAGGTGGTGTGCAACTGTTCGTGTCTGGCTTTCGCAGTGCAGTGCTGACTGTTTTGAACTATGCAGTCCCACGAAGTTAGCAAATCCGATGTATGTTTAACACCCAGCTGTGACATGGCAGATCGGATGCCAAAGCGAGCTCGAGACGATGCTCCTTCCTTTCGATTGGACCGTTGGCTGGCTCGCTTGCTTTGTATACATGCATTGTTCGTGGTT